CTAAAAATCAATGTATATAAAAAAGGTAAAAAACCCAAGAAGCTCCTTAACTCTTTGCTCTGTTGGTTTTCAACTATGAATGGGCTTAAGAGGATGTTTGCTTTGTTGCTGTTACACTTGAAGCACACTGCATGCATTTCATATGAACAATAACCCTTTAAAATCTAAATAGCTGAAGACCTCCAAAAATCTAAGCCACCAGATAACATATAGAAATATTATATTTAGAACCAAGTATGTATTAATTGTGCCCAAGATTACAGGGGGGAAAAAAAAAAAAAAAAGCTGAAATTAGTGTCATTGTCTATATATATGTTGTCATAAGAAAGATTATTATTTCCCATTGACTTGTGGATCTTGATAGTTCTATCACTGCGTGTTCAGCACTACCTGTCTTTTGAGAAATGTTTGATTGCTTTGATGTAATTACTTCATTGCACTTTAGCATTGAAATTCATTGAAATAATGAATTTATTTACAATCGCTTTGCTTTACGTAGGAAGGCCTTTCCATCTCGGCATACTGCTGCAGAGCAGACATGACTTTACAGTATTTAACTCAGGCCTGCAGCAGCACTTTCATCTATTCTTCACCAGGGTTTTACATGATTTTCCAATTAAACACTGCAATACAATATATTTCTGACGCAATTGCTCTATCTAATGTGACATTTAAAAAACTTACTGGAACAGAAAAGTGAAGAGTTGCTTGCATGGGCACATGCGTTTGCTCTTAAATGGCCCTCATTATCACAGTGTCTGAGTATCTGTGCCTGTCTAGGGTTGAAAAGGCAAATGGAGTTTGCCTCATCTCCCTACAGTTGTTCCTCTAAGTGCTTGGAATTTCCATCAGTCTGTGACTGATCAGGATCGCACATCCTAAGGAAATCCGCGCTCCTGCGACACACTTGTCTCAAGCAGCACGTGGCTCCTGGGGAACTGATCCTGGAAAAAGGCTTCGGAGGAAAATCTGTGAATTTGTATAGTAATTTTGGGAAGTCTCTTCTTTTTTTTTTTTCTCCTGTCAGAGATAAAATTCAAATACACCCCGTGCAGTTCTGGGAGACCGTCCAAGAGCCCTGCTGCACCGCTGGGATGCCCGGACTGTGGTGACAGCACGGTGCATTGGCAGAAGCTTGGAGGATTTTGTTAAGTGGCTTCTTGCCATGGGATTTTGACAGCAGAATTAGCACGGAGTAAAGGACTGGGGAAAATCAGAATGCCAAAGGGAAGTGCAGGTGTAAGAGCTGTATTTTGATGATGGGAAGGAAGGAGAAATAGGAGTCGGACGGTACCTCGAGGAGATGCGTGGAAATGGTCAGCAAGTCAGAGCTCAGGCTGAAAGGAGGAGAGGTTTAGGGGTTGGAATTCTTGTTCCAAGAATTGAAGGCACTGCTCTTTGCCAGCATAAATTCCATGTTCTGTTTGAAATATCTTTTATTTTTTTGTTTTTAAGAGATTTGAATTAAGCTGCATTCAATGTTCTAGAAAGATGTGGCAGCTGTTGATTGTGTTTTAAACATTTCTGTCTCAGTGTGTCATATGCTGTTTGGACTTAGATCAGCTGAGCACACAGGTATCCTAGGACGTTTTCCAGGAGAATGTCTTCATATGCATCTCCAGCAGTTGCATTGCAGTCTCCTGTCTTTCACAAATCCATTGATATCAAAGATGAATTGCTTTCATAAATCAAAAGTATTTCTTTTTAGCAATCAAAATATATAGGAGAGGGAAATAAGGGAAATAATCTTCACTAAGAACAAATAAGATTATAATTATTTTCTGGATATTGTATTTTTCCTGGAAAGTTTGGTATCCAGTGCCCAGAGTAAAATATTTTTGTCTACTTAGAATGCCGAATCATAGAATCATAGAATGCCGAAGGTTGGAAGGGACCTCAGAGGTCATCGAGTCCAACCCCCCTGCTCACGCAGGGTCACCTAGAGCACGTGGCACAGGGCTGCATCCAAGCGGGTTTTAAAGATCTCCAAAGAAGGAGACTCCACAACCTCTCTGGGCAGCCTGTTCCAGTGCTTTGTCACCCTCACAGTGAAGAAATGCTTCCTTAAGTTCCTGTGGAACTTCCGATGCTTCAGTTTGAAGCCATTTCCTCTAGTCCTATCCCTGCCCACCACTGAAAAGAGGCCGCCCCCCTCCTCCTCACTGCCTCCCTTGAGGTATTTATACACGCTGATCAGGTCCCCCCTCAGCCTCCTCTTCTCCAGGCTGAACAGATCCAGCTCTCTCAGCCTTTGTTCATATGGTAGATGTTCCAGGCCCCTGATCATCCTGGTAGCCCTGCGCTGGACTCTCTCCAGCAGCTCCACATCCCTCTTGTACTGGGGAGCCCAGAACTGGACACAGTCTCCAGATGTGGCCTCACCAGGGCTGAGTAGAGGGGGATGATCACTTCCCTCGACCTGCTGGAGACGCTTTTCTTAATGCATCCCAGGATCCCGTTGGCCTTCTTGGCCACCAGGGCACACTGCTGCCTCATGGTCAACTTGTCGTCCACCATGACGCCAAGGTCCCTCTCTGCGGGACTGCTCTCCAGCAGGTCCACCCCTAATCTGTACTGGTGTCCAGGGTTATTCCTCCCCAAGTGCAGGACCCTGCACTTGCCCCTGTTGAACCTCATGAGGTTTCTCGCCGCCCAGTCCTCCAGTCTGTCCAGGTCCCTCTGGATGGCAGCACAGCCCTCAGGGCTATCAGCTACTCCACCCAGTTTGGTATCGTCGGCAAACTTGCTGAGGGAGCACTCCAGCCCTTCATCCAGGTCGTTAATGAATAAGTTGAACAGGACCGGACCGAGAACTGACCCCTGGGGGACACCACTAAGTACAGGCCTCCAGCTGGACTCCGCACCATTGACAACCACTCTCTGCACCCTGCCATCGAGCCAATTCCTAATCCACCTCCCCGTCCACACATCTATCCCACATCTTTGGAGCTTGCCCAGGAGGATGCTGTGAGGGACAGTGTCAAAAGCCTTGCTCAAATCCAGATAGATGACATCCACCACTCTGCCCTCATCTATCCAGCTAGATATTCCTTCGTAGAAGGTGATCAGGTTAGTCAAGCAGGATTTCCCATTGGTGAATCCATGCTGGCTACTCCTGAGCACCTTCTTCTCCTCCATGTGTCTGGAGAGAACAGCCAGGATGAGCTGCTCCATCACTTTCCCGGGGATGGAGGTGAGGCTCACCGGCCTGTAGTTACTCGGGTCCTCCTTCTTGCCTTTTTTGAAGACCGGACTTCTTGCATAATTATACATAAAAATGATTTTTTTCAAGTAATCTTTTAAATAAGCATTTTCCTATCTGTTCTCTTTTCAGTTTATTTTGGCACTTCTCCAAATATCTCTTATAATATTTTAAGTACTTCCAATGTGCATAACTAACAGGAACGAGGCCATTATAATGTGATAGAGTTTGAGTTAAGCTGCCTGATGTTTTCACTGGAATGTTTTTTTCCATTGGAAATAGGTAATAATAGGTTAGTGGGCCAAGGTTCCTCTCACAAAGGAGATCTTTTCTTTAGCAAAGGTGGGTTGTATTGCTGAGGGAGTCTGTCTATAATCATGGAGATGTCATTTTAAATATCAGTTCTGTTAACTGCTAGAAAAGCTAATTAGTAAATTCAAAGAACTGCCTTTAGGTATTACTCATAGTAATTGAATCTATCTAACTAACAAACAAATCTCTCCCTCATATTGAAAGCAAAATTCACCGTTCTTATTTGAAGATGGTCAGCAAGTAAAACATTATTTTCTTGATTCTTAGTGGTCATAACTAAAATACAGTTCCTGATCTCGTGAAAGTAGTAATATTACCTGATACCTTTAGTGACACAGGAAAAGTACTTGTCCCAAGTTCATGCTAATAACTAGAGTTAGAGCTTGTGTGACAAAGTTGCCACATCTGAGCATTTCACTGATAGTAACAACTGTGCAAAGAAGGAAAATACACAGTTCCTTTTGCATAATCAAAAATAATTAAATTGTCCAGTCCCTTCCAGAAGTCAAAATAAATACAGCAGCCACGCAGCTGTCAGCTCTTACCAGTTAGTTCCCAGTTAGCTGGAAACATGAAAAGATCCTGTCAATTAGATGGAAAACTTCTTCCACAGAAATGATGGCTAAAAACAACTACAGTACAAAGTGCCAATAAAGAATTATTGCAGGTGTCTCCTCCTTGTGCAGTTTCTAGGCTGGAATACTCTGCTTTTCTGATCTTTGAGATAAGCCAACATACATTTTGACATAACGAAGCTTTGAATTTGAATCTGTGACTCACCCCTGTATTAGAGATGAAGGGGGTTTTTCCTCCTGCCCACCCTGTGCCCCGCTATAGACTGCAGCTGAGACATTCTGCTTAGCACCTATTGAAGTCACTGAAGTCTCCCAGGGACTTCACCCACAGCAAAAAAAAGGAGTTTTTTGTCTCTGAACTTTGTTCTGAACAGAAGGAGGTTTTTCTTCTTTGCCTTGGCATTAAATGACACGCCACCTATTAATTTTGCACAAGTAAGGCCATGAGAGTATTAGCATAAAAAGCAATAGAAAAAGAACAAGACTTCTTTAAATGAACTTCCTTTAAAGCTAATCTACTGTAAAGCAAGACTGCAAGTAGATACTGGAATATAGTGAACAAGTCCTTGCAAGATTGAAGCCGAATTTTCAAGTGTTGTTATCTGTATTCAAAGACATTATTTATGATTTATTGTACAGAAATTAAACAAATCTGAGCTGTCTTCACATTCCATTGATGTTATAATTTGGAATTTATTTATTAAGGATTTTTCTTAACATTGTTAATATATATGCTAATTATTTCCTGTGATATTTAATATCCTTAATCTGCATACGGTACTCCCTATATCTGCAGTTGCATTAACAAAGTGAGGAAAGAATGTGTTTGTACCTGCACGTGGCTTTTTAAATCTTTAGTCTCTTTTCTTTAATTTTTCTAATAAATGTTATTTATTAATATTTCTTTTCAGAAAAAACGAAGAACAAAGGACCTGTCCCAGCTGTTTCATTCATACAATCCATATGATCACAAGGTAAGAAAAAATATGCTACCTACATTTTTGTTAAGTAATTCTAAGCATTTGTGTGATACATTTTAAGTTCAATGTCAAAATGAAAGAAAATGATTGAAATGTTTGAAAGCATTAGGGTTTATTCATGCTAATTCAATTAGACTGTCATATAAAATGCATTTTTGTTTCTTCAAGACGTGCTTGAAAAGCTTCATTTTCTGATTTGTGAAATCAATGACTTTCCTTAACTTCCCATAAGTATAATTTATGGATTGACACTAAATCTTTTAAAGTGGCCTTTTGGGGTATCTAATTCCCCTCTTTTCCCCTCGCTGTTTAGAAAGAGTGTTACTCTCAAGTACGTTACTTAACCTGTTGTGTTGATTGGTCCCTGAGATACATGATACTAATGAATTATCTATTGATTCTGGAAGCATCATTGGAAGTGGCCTCTGTATTAACAGGTTGCCCATTGTTTGGGGTACAATTAAACACACAGATCACTGTTACTTGTCTCTTATTTGTAAAGCCTGGGAAACCTCGATGAAAACCCTTATAGGTATAAGGGAAAAAGGACACCACTTCCTCAAAGACCTTGCAATGCAGGATAAAAAAATTAAGGTGGTTACAGAAAGATTTTGAAGTATCAAGAGGCAAAGTTAATAAAATGGGGTCAATAACAATGATCACACCATTTCTGCAGTATAAGTATTTGTCATGGGTTTCATCATAAACATTATGCGAAAGAGGACATTCAGCAGCAAACAGAAGAAGAATCAAGTTAGATTTGTAAATGTTTGCAGGGAATTCTTCCAATTTTGCATGCCTCAGAGGGCATTTTTTTTAAGTGCACTAGATCCTTTAACAATTTGTCAGCAGTATGAGATCACCTTCTCTGCTGCTTCTGCTTTACAAAGTATGTGTGATTTTGCAAATATACATTTTTAAAAAGAAAGGTTTGAAACATTTTTGTTGAGATACTTCAACAAAAAAATTAAACTTTATTGTTGCTTTTATGATCCATATACTAAATAACTATGTATTGGTAAAAAATAACAAGAATTAGCTTTTATGTTTGTGGGAGGAAGGGGTCAAGGTGTACACCTGTGTTATATGAAAAATGTGCGTCTGTAAATACACATATATGTATGAGTGAGAAATGCAGTGTTCATAAATATTTATGGATTGAAGTTCCATGATTGTGGCTCTTCAAAAAACCCTCTACCTGCCCATCTGAGTGCAAAGCTTAAAAAAATAAAAAGAAGAAGGGGCAAATAATTTTAGATGGATTCAGGTAGGTTGTTGCTGTGCGAGTTCTGTAGTTACCAGCTGCCTGAACATTTACAACATAGAAAATTATTAACAGAAAGTAGATATGTTCTGTAATTTTGATAATTATATATCATTTCAAGGTAAATCCATCACTTTGAAGTATTTTTTTATAGGGAGGCTTGCATTTTCTATAAAGTCTGGGAAAGCAGATGTTAAGGGCTTGTGAAAATTAGTAAACATAAAGAAGAAAGGAAATTAATGTGACAAGATTTCTAACTGGAATATTGCTTTTTTTAAATTGAAGCAGTTTAAGGTAGACATCATAGTAAATCAATTAAGATCTAATATGGAGAAGCAACTGGCAAACCAGAAGCTTTGATATTCTTCTCTTTGTCTAAATCCTCCTTTGCCAAACACTTTTTATTCATAGCACAAGGAAATTCCATTATTCTTTTATTAGCACTCTTAATAGAGCTCGGCCATTTGCAGCTCCTGCTGCCTTCCTGCTCATATCCTTTGTGGCTTTATATCAAAGTATCCTCAAATGATTTTGGCTTCAGTTGTGAAGCCTTATGCACTCTTTACAAATTAGTCATCAGGCACTGTGGAATTGAATATAAATGCTTAGATATAATCCCTTTTGATCTTTGTTTTAGGACCTTTAATAAATTATTAAAAGTAGCACAATTGTTGGATGATTTTTGAAGCTCCACTGTTTCGGTGCTTCCAAGCACACTCTACCTACGTGTCTGAGAGCAAAAGGGAAAAGAAAGAGACCGAATGACTCTATAAAATAGATGCCCTTTCCTTATTTCACATGTGATAAGGAAAGTTTTCTTGCTGCTAAGCACTTCCTGTTTGCAGTGGTTGGAATGAGCTCATTGAAGATTTCTAGCTTTGTGCTGTTGTTTTCCACCTTAACTGCCAATATTTTACAGTCTTTACAGTCCAGGGAAGGGCTTTTAGTTAGTTTTAATCATAAATCTAACAGTAATCAACATTAGTTGACAATACAGCTGTTTTGGGCGGATGTCTGTATTAGTTTTATCCTGTTTTGTCTCATTTGCATGTGAGAAAGTTGAGGTTGGGTTTCTGTTTGTTGTTGTTCTTTGCTTTCGTAGATTATTTTCTATCAATATAAAAAGAGGATAAAGACCTTTTGTGATGGCTTGGTGAAAGTGTTGGTGATGCAGGTTCCTGGTGCAAATGACTCAAATCACTGGCTTATTATTGTTATGGCTCAAGATTATTCATTGATTGAAAGGTTTTCCTTTGAGAAGTAGAAAAGGGATAACCTTAAAGGATAGGTTGGAGATTAGAGACAATGGCTATGACAGGACTGAAGCAAGTTTTTCTTGTTTCTATCCCATAGAAAAGAGAAAAGATAATCTAAAAATAAGTTAATTTTTCAAAGGTGGTGCTTCAATATTCATACATAGATGTTTTGAATGAGCTACTACACTAACTTGGCTAATGTTACTGTTTATATTTGATCAAGAGGCCAGTGTCTATTAAAGAAAGCAACGATTCCTGTAAGTTTTACCTCAAATGCATATGTCCGTCTATGGCAAATTACTGCACTCTAAAGGACATTTTAAGTGTCTATGCTTTCTGATGGTCAAGTGAAAAGTTAGTTTTGTTAATGAGGAGACAAGCAAAAACATTTTCCTTCCACTTTCAGGTGTGAAGTCTTTATCTGGCATCTCTCTGTCATGTAACCAGTGTATCTAAGGAAGCCTTAATTAAGCACAAGAGTGAGCAGGGCTTTTCAATTGTCCTACAAGAGGCATGGAAAAGCGAGAGATGTTCTGCCTCTGCTGGTAGCAGAGCTGCCCTGTGTCTAAATGTCTAGTGTCTAAAAATGGCATCATTTGCTATTTATGTGTCCTGTTTATTGCTCAGAAGAAACCATGTGATAGCAAGTCTCGAAACATGTGCCCCTGAGTTGTCTGCCTGCCCACTGAGATTTGATCCTGTCCTGTTTTGCTCAGGGCCACCACGGTGCTCATAGTGCCTGCAGCTGCACCCCAAAGCAGGTTGTAGCATCAGCCTTGAACGCCTGGGAAATACGTTGAACTCTTTAAGCCCAGCAGGCACCTAAAGGGTTGGCTTTTCCCCCCGTCCCTCTCCGATCTTTTAATTAAAACAAATAAAACCTTCTAAAACGTGTGTTTTCTAAGACCAAATAAATACTTGATACATATATTGAGTATTAAAAGCTACTCCAGGTGAGTGGTTGCCATGTGCTCAAACTAATTTGGGTTTGTATATGCAAAGATATGTAGAGTGCTGTTTGCAGACAAAGCCATTCATTGTTCTGAAAATGTTTGTTTTTTTCCTGTGTTTATTTAGAGTAGTTTTAAGTATAGACCATCTTTCTTGAGAATGATGTTCTGACTTTAGGGTGATGTTTTTCAAGTAAGCAGTACAACAGCTCTTCTAATTCTATGTACAGTTTATCTTTCCATAACACCATCAGAAAAATACTTTTAAAAAATCCTCTTAGAGCTGTGCAGGTGAGCAATGGTTTTTGTCAAACTAGAATCCAAGAGAATATAGTGGAGAGGGAGTGCTGTTTTTACCCTTAGCAGTACTCAGGCCATTTTTCTAATAGATCATTAGAAGAAAGGTTAGGTCTGCGAGCAGGTGATTCTTACTGAACCTCTTTTTGTATGTATGCCATGTGGCCTCCCATTGTACGGAGCAGGCATTTCATTCTGCCTGTAAAAGATGCTTAATTGTCATAGTATCTTTCTCTATAATGATGTTTGCTCTACAAAAATGTTTTGTTAAAAAAATAATAAATGAAATTATTTCATTTGTAGCAGCAGGTTTTGTGGTCAAAATAACTTTCATTTGAGGAGCTTACTGTGAGCTTCAGGATCCAATACGCAAAAAGTCTCCAAATTTAGCACCACAGAATGTAATTCCGTTCTCCTCGTTGCTTGCTGCTCAGTCTAGCCCTAGAACAGTTGTTTCAAGCTATACTCCCTAATTTCGGCCATGCAAAGACATGTTTTCTTGTTGTTTTACTTATAATAAGCGCAGTCGAGCAGAACTGCTGTTCATCTGTTCACGTGGCTGCTCTGGCCTCCGTAGGGTCCTGGGACATGTCTGTGCATGTCTCTACCAGCACGTACCGAAGAGCAGCCTGCTCGTCCAGTGAGAAATCCCCCAAGAAATGGCCTGAAAATCCAGCTCTCAATTTCTTTTGCAACCTGCAAATGTTGCTTAAGAATAAGGTATGATCTGTAAGGAAATAAGGCCATGTACTATAGCATTAGTGATTTATTTTAGCGTGTGCTAGATCCAACCAAATAAATAAAATCCATGTTCATGTGGTTTCAAAGGGCTCCTGATGAGGTTGGTTTTTTTCCTGTTTCAAACTGCTTTAGATTTTAAAAAAATCACTGTTTCAGGAAATGAGCTCTGATTGATGCAATGCAAATGAAATTATTAGACAAGTTTTCTATTCTTCATGCTTAAAAGTGTTAGTTAATGATGTATCATACAGATGTTAAAAAAAAAATACCCGGAAAACAAAATCCCACCTAATAATGCAAGTTAGTGTTTGGCAAGTTAGATGGAGCATTGTATTAAGCCACAGTGAGAATGAAGTCTCCTGAAAAAAGCAAAAAGCAAAAAAAAAAAAAAAAGCCCTGGATTGCTTTTGCTTTGATAGTGCTGTTAATGCCAGTATGTACATACCTACCTTTAAGGAACGCTTGTAGTATCAAAATAAAACATGG